AAAAAAAAAAAACCAATCTACATTAGAACCCTTTGTTGGAATGTTTTATACTTTCCACAGAACAGAAACTAAAATAATGTTATACAATTAATCACAAGCACACTACTTTTATTTTAAAAGTATTTTCAATTCATTTCATAGATTGATTATGGTCAATGTTAGGGAGATAATTTCATCTTTTAAGAATCTTTCTTGGGGGCCCTCCCTAGTGGCACAACCATTTAAAGCACAGCACTGTGAAGCTACCCGCAGCCACAACAGCACAAATTCAGTCCCCTGCCAGGGAGGCGACCTAGTTGGGGCAGCAGACCTCTCCTGTCTCACCTGCTGCTCCCCTCAGCAATTTTAGTCAATCCACTTATTCTGTTCCCCACTCTGTCACTCGTGAATCCTCTTACCCAACCCCCCCCACCTCTGGCCTGTACCCCAGTTCTTGTATGCATAAATAAATCAACCTTTAAAAATGTCTTTCTTAGTCATATACTTTTACACACCTACAGTTCATATATATGACATTATCTTCCAGCTACAATGATTCTCTAATCACCAGAGAATTTCTTTGTAAAAACTCTGGTTCTTAGCGGCATGAACTGGAGGATTTTAGATCTTCTGTGTTTGCTACATTTACTGTGTGTTCTATAAAATAGTTGCCTTGTATCTTTATTAATCTCTTATTTTTAGGTAAGATCAAAAATCAGTTATTGTCCACAATTTGATGCCTTGTTGGATTACATGACAGCTCGGGAGATAATGATCATGTATGCCAGATTATTGGGGATTCCTGAGAACCAGATTAACAGTTACGTAAATAACTTTCTGCAATCACTAAATCTGGAATCCCAAGCTGACAAGTTTATCTGCACTTATAGGTAAGATATACTGATACTGTCATTGCAATTAATATTGAAGAGCCTTCCTTTATTCTGCTTTTTAGAGAAGATCCCACAGTTTTACTGGAACTCCACTGACAAACAACTGTGAGACAAACAACTGTGAGACAATCACTGACAAACAACTGTGAGACAGTTTTAGGTGTTAACAATAAAGCAAAATTCATATTATTACATCTTCCCTTTGCAGAAATGGAACTCACAATCCTAGTTCTATTGGAATTATAATCACTAAATTACAAAAGAGAACTTACTTCTCCTTATATCTCTATTGTTTTTTGTCTCCCAAATAACAACAATGAGATTCTTTGTATGGGACTGACCATAATATATGGTTTATAAATCTGGAATCCCAAGGAACCTCAAAAATAAGACTATAAATTTCAGTGATAATTTGGCTGAAATTAATGTTCTAATTTCAACATCTCAAATGAAAATTACTTGATTTATATAATGAGATTGAGTCTGGGGCCTTATCTGAGTCACATGCAGTTGGAATCTTAACTATCTCTGCTGTTTCCTGTGACTCAGCATTTTATAAACTGGAAAACGATTTCCTGTGAATAGTTACGTATTAAATGAATGTGTATATGATAAATTATTGTAATGTAGAGCCATTTCTGCTTTTTCTTTCTCTCTTCTTTCTTGATCGTGAAGTGGAGGAAATAAACGTAGAGTGAATGCTGCTATTGCCCTCATGGGGAAGTCCTCAGTCATCTTCTTGGATGAGCCGTCAACTGGCATGGACCCCCTAGCCCGCCGCCTGCTCTGGAACACAGTGACACAGACACGTGAAAATGGCAGAGTCATCATCATCACCTCTCATAGGTGTGGTTCATTGACGGCTAGATTGTGTTGCAGGAGTTGTAGTAGTGTCAGAAGGGCATTACTTGGGGCTGGCAATAGTGAGCAGTCAGCTTGGCTGAGCATGCCAGCCCCTCATTAGCCCTAATGAATGGAAAAGCCAGTGATCCTTGTTGAGAAGAGAGAAACGAGTTCAGGAGTTGTTCCATTGGAGAAGTTAGTCCTCTACTACTTTGAATTTGAAATCATCTCCTTTTCCCATGGTGTTGAGCCTGATCAATGCAACTTTCCAATGCAGAAAGTCACAAAATAGTAGATATTTGAACAACAGGATTTCTAGTGGAGCCCTTTGTCAGCTTACTTCATTCTGGTATCTTGTTTTGCTAGTATGGAGGAATGTGATGCCCTCTGCACCAGGTTGGCCATCATGGTGAAGGGAAAGTTCATGTGCTTGGGCAGCCCTCAGCACCTCAAGAACAAGTTTGGCAATGTTTACATTCTGAAGACCAAGATCAATATTGATTTAGAAGAGAATGAATTAGAGAATTTTAAAAATTTTATTGCAACAACTTTTCCAGGTAATTAGATTGGTTGGGTTAATATTATTAGGCTTGGTTTTAGTTGTAATCATTCTTCTCATTCTCCATATGCTATGAGTCTTCAATAGCTATTTTCTTGTGACTTACTGACATTTATCAACCTTCTATGTTGAGTTCCTTTTGGAATGTTTATTCTTATAAACATCTTGTGCCTGATTGTGCTAAGACATCTTATGAGGACTTACCCAAGGCTTCTAGGAGCAGTGAGAAAGTAGTGAGTACAAAAGGCTCAGTGTCATAAATGACTGGTTGTTCCCATGGCCATCTGTGGGGGACAGGGGGGCTCTGTCTTTTGGACCCCACTTTTGACACCAGGACTTTTAAAAGATCAACTAAGACACGAACTCTTCAAGAGTTTATCGGAATATATACAGTAGTTACAGTGACCTCCAGAAAATCAGACCAGTGTCAGCAGAAATATCTGTTCAAAAATGAAGCAAGTCAACGTACACTAAAGCAGTGGGCTTTTTGCATTATGTCCATTTTTAACTAACCACATCTATCCGTTCCTCTACTGCATATAAAGGAGTTGATCTACCAACAGTTTAGCAATTTCAAATGAAAATTGTGAGATTATTTACCTGTCCCATCTTTCATTTTTAGGTAGTGAATTAAAGCAGGAGAATCAAGGGATTCTTAACTACTACGTTCCCAGCAAGGACTTAGGCTGGGGGAAGGTGATTGTAGGAATGGTGCCTTTCTCATATTACATGTCACTGATGATGGGTGGTGTGTGTGGATTTGTCATGTGAGTTGAGAGCCTGCTGTTACAGGCAAGAGAGACCTACGCAGCTCTTCAGTAGTCCCTGGAGTTGACCTGCTCAACCTCTATAGAGTTCCCACTATTTGCCCTCATCCATCAAGAAAATGGGGACAGAAAATTCTCCACTCACTTTATCAAAAGCCTCTTTAGGTTTCCCATCTCTCTTGTCTGTGCTTTTTGTCCCCCCAAAATAACTTGGCAGGAGTTGGAGGAGGGGAGGAGAGGTTCCCAGCGGGGAAGCTGAGGAGACAACCACAGTGGTAACTGTACATTCTTTGTGTTGCTGTTGAAGGTGTTTAGTATTTTGGAGGACGCTAAAGAACGGTACAGTCTGGAAGACTATTCCATCAGTCAGATAACGCTGGAACAAGTCTTCCTGACTTTTGCTTCTGAAGAGAACATCGATAAGTGAAAAACAAAAAGGAACCATGGTCGATTCCAACCAGTGGCCCTGTATCCTTCCCTACTGTCCTCGGATACATAGCCGGCTTTCCTGTGTGTGTATATATCTTGCTGTAAATATATTGATATAATAAACAGTCCCCCCTAAAGACCACATGTCCCCTCTTTGCGCAAGATCCAGTCAGGATCTCTTGGCCCCTGAGAAAGTGTTTGCAGGACCCTGCGCCTGCACCTCCATGTCCAGAATTTCCCTGCAACCCCCCTCTCTCCAGCCCTAGACTAGGGGCTGCCTCTAAATCACCTCAAATTCCCAGCCACCAGAGACTGGGTCCACAGAGTGTGGCCACCACACAGAAGGGAACTTAGGAGGTTGAAAATGTGTGGGGTCAACCAGTAGGACCCGGAGGGGAACAAGTGAAGGGGCACCGAGGTAGGGGTGCTGGAAATCCTGGAGGAAGGAGGGCATAGGCACCCGCCCTGGGGGTGGGGTGCGTCCCGAGCTGGGAAAGGAGCCAGCGCGAGCTGGAGGCGCGCTGGGGCCGAGCTGCTGGAACCCAGAGCGCGCGCTCAGGGTTGCTGCGACGGCTGCTTCGCCCCAGATGTCTGGCGGCCCACGAGGCCCAGGCGGCAAACCTAGCTGGGAGCGGTTGGGGAGGGCGTTGGGCTGAGGAGCGGGCTGGGCGGGCGTTTATCCCTCTGCGCAGAGGTGGTGGCCAAGGTGAGGCTTGAGCAGTGTCCGAATTTCCCTGGCTTTTCTCCTCCCCAACCCCCTGACACTGGGCTATGACCCCAGAGGAGAAAAAGAAAAACGCAACAAAAAACACGATGTAAAAGGGTTCTGTGCACCCCAGACATTGAGGGACGCTAACCAGGAGAAATGAGACAGAATATACTCTTAGGAATTTAACTTTGGCTGTGCAAAGTATTTCATAGTAAGGGCTTTGGAGTATTTGGGGTCTCTTCCAGCCCAGAGGTCATTTGCTGTTGCGCTGTTTTGGGTAGTTGGGTGGCTATTTGGCTGTGACAGAATATCACAGACTGATAACTCACAGGTCGTTGAAATAAATTTCTCACAGTTGTCAGAGGCTGGGAAATCCAATATCAAAGCACCAGTAGATTCAGTGGCTGGGGAGAACCTGATTCCTACTTCACTGACAACAGACTTCTCCTGAGTCCTCACAGTGAACCTGTTCCTTGAAGCCGGTTTAGGGGGGCACTTACCCTATTCATGGGGGCTATACTCCTCAAGAGTTAATTATCAACCAAAGGCCCCATGTTCTAATATCCCCTTGGAGGTTAGCCTTTCATAATGTTTGGAGAATATTTAACCCTTAGCTTTCTCATCTTTAAGAAAAAGGGTATTACTTGCACCAGTCTGGGTAGGTGGATGATGGTAATAATTGTAGAGCATAATTAATGTTAATTAAGTAGCAAAATCGGGAAGCTAAGTGTTAAGGTGCATGTTTGCTTTTCTCTTGTTAAAACAAAAATTGCAGTGGACAACGTAACAGCCGAGGAAGACTTCTTACAAGGTTACTAGAATAGGAAACTCAGAATTCATCTGAACTCTGCTGAAGCAAAGGGTAGGAATGTTCTGCACCGCTGGCTTGAGCTAGTGGAAGGTGCCAGCAGATTGCAGGGTGAAGGCTGAGCAAACTGAGTTCTTTTGGGAGCTTGCAAGTGCTTGAGTTAGGTCATCTGTGTCTGCTAATTGATGCATCTGGCCTAGTTCCTGCCCTCTCAGAGACTAAGAGATAAGGATGCTATCTTCCTTGAGTACATATGGACAGATGACTCTTGGTCCTTGAGAAAGACATTGGGGGGGGGGGGTGTAAAACAGAAAGAGGTTGTGGAAAAGAAAATGTAATTAAAAATACTCTGGAGACTAAATCTCATGCTAACAATTCGATACTATAAACAGTGTGATTGCCTAGTGTTCAATAATTATTCAAGAGTTCTTTCGGACCCCTACTGAAGTAGGTTGCCCTGAAAGTTTTCACACATTAGGTTCTTGCCCCACCACCTCCCCCTGTCTTCCCCCACACACACCCACACCTCCACTGCCAGAGGGTAGATCCAAGTTCTTCAGGACTCCAATGAGAGTACATTTAGTACTAAGAGCAGGATGTGCCAGGTGTGGTGATTTTCTGACTAGGCGTTTGGAGTCAAACCCCTGTACACTAAGAGCCCCCATTTCTATCTGGCGGGTAGCAAAGAAAATGGGGTAACAATACCCTGAGTAGCTCGGCCTCTGCTCCCTGTTCATTATTTCAAATCTATTTTACTGGTGAAAGGAGAAACTAAAAATAAGTGTCCTCTGTCTTTTCAGGCTTATGTGTTGTTCTTGCTTGCTCTTTTCCCCCCAAAAGATCAGGAAATAGGACACAAAATGATACAGAAAGTGAAAAATCGTCACTGTTTAAAAAAAAATAGACATTATTTTCCTCTTTAAGATAGTTTATTCTTATAGACAAGAATGGAATGCCTTTTTCTAATACAGTGAGGGCTATTTTTATCTCTGATGTGAAACTCCCTCTCACTCTTCTGATGAAAAATTCAAGAAAAAGAATGGCACAATTGCAGAGTTGGACAGCTGGTGAGTTTTAAACTGATGTTATAGTCCTAAAATAAAGACTACCCTTTTTTACCTGGATTTCAACTCTCTGGTAGCCCCAAGAATTGAAGTCAGGTGTCCAAAATGACATAGTTAGTATAGAGCTGAGAAGTCAGCAGCTTGACTTCATAACACATCTTCCCTCACATACCATGAAGGACTTTATTCCTTCATTTCTCATTGTACACCTACACTCAACATGGCATATGTTAGATATTAAGAAATATCCACCAAGTATAAGAAAGACACATATCTACTTATATTTAATTGAATCATTAAGATTCACTGTTACCAACAGAGGCATTTCCAGTCTTGCAAATTACTGAGTGGCATTTTGTACCTGTAGCTCTGATGTGATTTTTTTTATACAAGTTGTCTTTTTTTTTTTTTTTGCTACTGCTGATTTGTGTTTTATCCCAATTAATATTTTCATAAGCAATGGGAAAGCTACTGGTCAAATTTGCTACCTGGAAATTTGTGTCAGTAACTCATTGATATTTTGTACAGATTGAAAAGCTCAATAAATGCCAATAAATTAAAAATCTAGGAATAAACGTATCAAATATTTCAAATGCTTTTTAGTTCTTGTTGTTATACTTTAAACTTGATTAGAAAATTAAGTAATTCAATTTTTGAAGTAATTTGCTTATCTAAAATTTATATTTTATCACATGTTAATTTCCTTTTTAAAAATTCTTACACTATCTAGAGTTGAACTTTCACCTTTTTTAGGAGAATGGATTTGTCCAGCTTCAATAAATTTATGGTTCTTCTCTGGAAGAATTTCATTTTAAAGGTAAGTTGAGCTAGAGCCTCGCTGGTGGCAAAAGGGGTTAAGTCTCAGCAACTATGACATTATCTGCAGCCACTGCAGCACCAGTTCAATCCCCAACCACGAAGCTGACCCACATGGGGCAGCAGACCTTTCCTTTCTCACCCTCTGCTCCCCACAGCAGTGGATTTCAGTGGATCCACCTGTTCTGCTCCCCACTTTGCCTCTGGTGAATCCTCTCACCCTCACCCCCCACACCTCTGGCCTACACTCCAATTCTTGTATACATACATAAATAAATCTTTGTGGGGGAAAGTAAGTTGATCTACCTATGGAATTTTTCAACAGTTAAGAGGCTACAGCAGGAAAATTCTGAAGCCTGATCACAGTTTATACTGTTTTATAGTTCACAGTTTTAGGGATGGCATTATCTCAAATATGAAAAGTTCTCATATAGTAAAATATTATAGAACACTTGGAAAGCAAAAATAAAGTCCAGAAATCTGCTGTTCTTACAGAATGAAGCTGCTCTTCTGGCCATCAAACCATCTTAGTTTTTGAAGTGTCTATTCATGTAAAATAGCCATTTGTGAAATTAGGGAACCATGGGGCCATTAACAATCCCTTTTTTTTTTTTCCTTTAATAATCTAGAGACGGCGACCCGTTGTTACACTTGTGGAAATCATCCTCACACTATTATTTGCTGGGACACTTCTGTTAACACGCAAATTCATGCTGATAAAGAAGTCTGGACCTTTCATTTACCCCTCTCATTCCCTCTCTGTGGTGCCTGATATTTTTGGAGCCGTCTCACCTGCTGAGCCTATGGAATTGGCTTTTGTGCCTTCCAAAAGTGTTGTGGTGAAGAGCATCGTTGAAACAGTGAATCAAGATTTACAACAAAATTTCAAAGGTTAGAAATAAGAATCTGTGAAAAAATGATATTTTTGAATTGTTTGAAAGAACATGCCCTTAGAACCTTTTAATTGGGTATTAATCTCCCAACTATAACATTGTAGGTGAACCCCATAACCGATAGTAGCCTTATAAGTATTGTACTATGGACTGGGTTAAACATGAAAGTTAGGCATGTAAAATATTGTCTAAATCCTAAAATAAAGAGTAATATTTAAAAATTAGGTGATCAGTTTATATTTTCTAAGTTATCATCCAACTTTGTGATTCTAAGCCTTTCTCATCTTCTGTTTTTTGAACCTGGGTGTCTTTGTGTGGGAGGGGGTGCGGAAGGGTGTGGAAGGCACAGTACATATGAGCCCTCATTCTGGATATGTACTTGGTGGTCAGTTATTTCAAGCATGTGAATGTAAGAGATTCAAGCTCTAGCAAATTCATTTTAAAATTCCTAATTCCGGATTTATTCTCATATTTTCAGCCTCTTTCTCCTAGAGATAAAACTGTCAGCAGGTTGGTAGACAGGCCCCTAGTGCCTTTTCCCTTACACACACACAGAATTTCAGTACTATGTTTTTTCAATCTTTTTTTGGCCTTTGAGAGATTTGAAAGCCTTTCACAGTTGATGCCATTCAAAGCATTTATTTTTTAAAAAATGACAACTACTGAAACAGAAAAATGCCAAATTATCAACAATTTTTAAAGCATACAACACAAATATCCCAATAAACTATGTCTATTACAGGCAACTTCCAGTTACCCAAAATGTTTTATAATTCACTGGATTTCTTCTTTGATGGCATGGGATTTTTTCATATGCATGGCTTCTGAACATTTGAAATTTTGTTGTTATCTCTGTTTTTGATTTCTGTTTTAATTTCCTTGAATCAGAGTGTATTTTCTACATATTTTGGTTCCCAGCACGTGGCAGGGGGTTCCTGAGTTCATGAATGACTTATAGAGGGAGAGCATCAACAGCTGGAAATAAGTAGGACATACACAGTAACATCAAACAGATGCCTGGTTCTTCTAGTGACAAAAGCGCTCACCCTTGGTGGTGGAGTTTGCATTGGAGCCATGGGTCTGGCAGCTGCCTCAAGGACCTGTTCTGGAGGCACTTTTGTAAATAACCAGTCTCCTCCCAGGCAAAATGTTGACCCACGTGCACAGGAATCAGGGTCAGCTCCAGAATCCATGACTTCATTCTTCTCTTCTTTTAGAACAGGCCATTATTCTATGAAAACTATAAAAATGACTCACTTTTATGCCAAAATGAAGGTGAGGCCAACTATACCCTTTATGCAGATATCTTATTCATTAATCCTATTAATGCAAATATCTTAGAGGATAAAAATCCTCTAAAAATCCAGGTCCCATCATTTTTCTTTCAGAAAAGACACTGTCTAGGACAAGGGCTAAATCTTGGAGTAGAGTGTTGTGATTTTGTTACTGTTTATAGATGTATGTGCAGAAAATGAGTGGGATAAAAGGCAGCAGAGGAAGCTGAATTTATGTAGTCTTTGTAAGGTTGAATCAGTGCTACCCAGAAGCCGAGGTGACACGTGTACCAAGAGTCACAGGAGAGAGGGTGCCTTGTGAATGAGAACTTGTAAAACTCCCAAAATGTTCATGCCCACCACCAATCTATCAGTTTGTTAAACCAATGCTTGAGAAGCAGTGTTTTAAAATTTATTGATAGCCTTTCATCCATACAAAGTGGTTTCCCATCTTCAAGATAGGTAGAATTGTGAACTACTTTGCCTTTTGTGATCAACTCACTCATTAGATTTCTCTGTATATATAGTCACAGGTTTTTCTTCAGAAAAAGATTTTGAAGATTATGTTAAGAAAAGGGAAAATGCTAAAAGAGTGGTGGCTGCTTTTGTTTTTGACCATAAATTCAAAAATAGCCATGACCCCCTGCCACTTAAGGTAAGAAAGTTCTATGCAGAAATATCATATTTACTCTTATAGTTTCCAGAAACTTAATGAGGTAGAGACACCGGTATCAGAGAGACTGACTTACCCAAGATCATGCTGCAAGGACTTAGTAAATCAGGGGTTTCAGCTGAGATCTAACTGAGTATTGGTTCTTTTATTCAGCTGATGAAGGAATTTGATTTACTACCTACCAGCCTTCTATTTATAAGTTGGAATCATGGGGCTCATTGACAGTTAAGGATGTTACTTTGCCACTCTGTTCCCGCTCTGCTCGTGGTGGTGAAGTGGAGGAACGTTTTCTAGGGCATGCTTCCTAGACACAAAGACCCTATATGATCAAGCTGTGATCAAGCGGTTACATCTTCACCATTATGGAGCCCATCACAAAAACTTTCCACTTTCTTTTAAATGGCTCTTACCATTTCTCTTCTAGATTTAAATGAAGTCTATAAAGCGAAGGTTTAGCCAGCTCTAAAACTAGAATATAATGCTAAGAATATAATGCCAGGCTGAAATTGGAATTAAGACATATGCAGACACTGAAGAAGATTCTAATGACAGCCTCCCCACTCCCCACCCCTGCCCAGGAGGAGAGACAGGGGCAATGCTTTGAAAATTATAAACATGGTGGCTCTGGATTTGAGGAAATAACCAAGGGATGGTGCAGATAAGGGCCTGGAGCCCAAATCCTGCAGTGACTATGCAGATGTTTGTCAAGGAAATGAAAATTAAGGAACACACTGGTTTTAAGGATGTATGAGGTACCTTTTCACTCTGTCCCAACATTCTCTGATTCCATTTGTATGTGTCATCTTCCCTCAGGTGACCAACCAAATGTCCACTGATGCTGGTGGTGGCTCAGCCTGGTCACAGTGACCCTAGAGCAGTTTCAAACTTCTCCTCTTCTGCCTTGTATAATATCCTGCCGGCTCATTCTCACCAAGAAGAAAAGCAGCAGCTTTTCTTCACTTCACATAACCACACCCTCTCTTTTCCTCCTCTGTGTTCTCATCAAAACACCTGTCTCTACCACTGAATTTACTGTAATGTAAATGTGTTTTCTTCCATTAGAATTTGAACCCTTTGAGGAACAGGGGCTATGTTTTAATTCTCAAATGTGCCATAACGCCCATCACCTTGGCAGTAGTAATTGAATGTTTACCTAGACTGGTGGCATCTGCCTGCCGCTTCTGACCGTACTCACTTCTCTGGTCTGACCCTCTGTCCTGCACCGTTTGCTGGGTTGCCCCGTTAGGCTAGCACCACATACTCCAGAATCAGTAATATCAAATCACACACCCTTGACATTTGCACTTCATCACATTCCTTTGTGCTCCCATAGGATTCTTTCTTATGTTACAATCACTTTTTGGAGAGATTTTCACCACAGGGCACTTGGTGGCTTACCAGAAAGAGAAATTAAGGCCACCGTTTTGGTCTGCATGCCTGCGTCTGTTTAGGGGACACTCCATCCCTGTGCAAGTTGCCACCGTGTTTGCCCTGTGCAACCCCAAAGCTTTAAGACACATTTGCCCTCTTCTTCTTCATGTCCCGAATTCACCCTGGTTCTCATCAGCTGGCCTCAACCCCACACATTGGCAATTGTACTTTAACTTTCTTTTGTTTCTCACTCTTGCTTAGTCATTTTTTGTTTATAGTTATTGTTTGTTTCTCATTGCTTTTTGTAGGTCAAATACTATGTGCGTCTTAGTAGTTTTCAGAGGAACAGATATGTGGACTTTTTACGACCAGACGGCTGGGAGACAAATACTCTGTACCCAACTTCTTTTTCTCTGGGACCCAGAAATACTGACGAGACAGGGGGGAGTCCTGGTAAGCACATCGTTGACCACACTTACTTAAACAGACTAATTGTGCTTAGAAGCCAGCACATATTTACACTGACGTATCTTTAACTTTGTGGGGAAATTATTTCTGACTCACTGTGCTGCTGATTTTTTTTTTTTTTTTCATTTAAAACGTTCAGTGTCCTCACCAAGAAGTGCTGTTCATTAGAATTGTGTGTTTTTATCCTGTCCTGATCATTGCATAGTCAGGTAGCTATTTCGACGTTGATGACTTAATGTACGCATTTCCAGGTACTGACATGAACTGATTTATTATAACTATGTGTCGTTCTGTTGGGTAAATGAGCACGGTATAATTTTCAACGTATTATACAAACTCCCATTGAAAAGTCTTTAACGTAGAGCTTTACGTTAACAACAAAGATGTAAATTTGCCCCAAGTAAAGTAACTAACAAGAGAAGCAAGTTCTAGCCAATTCAGCATAATTCTTAGAGTTTGAAATTAGCCTACATTTCCAATAGGTTAAGAGAATAACAAAAGTATAAAATATAACTTGACAGTGCATACTTATTAAAAATAGGCTTCGTTAGTCTTCTGCAAAAGCCAGGTTCAGAGCTCTGTTGTGAAATCACAACTGTGCAAGACTGGGCTGGTGCTGCATGTTGTCCTTGTTTTCTTCTAAAAGTATTTGGCATGTTATTTGTCCAGTCATAAAGTTTACCAGGAAATCAGTCCTTCCTGGTGGCACAGCGGGTTAAAGCACAGCACTAAGTAGCTAATGCCACTCCAGCATGAGTTTGTTCCCCGCCCTGGAGGTGACCCACATGGCACAGCAGACCTCTCCTGACCCGCTGCTCCCCTCAGCAGTGTACTTCGTTGATCAGCCTGTTCTGCTCCCCACTCTGTCTCTGGTGAATCCTCTTACTGCCCCTGCACTTCTGACCTGTACCCCAGTTCTGTATGCATAAATAAATCTTTTTTAAAAAAAAATTTACAAGGGAATCTTGTGTCCAGCTACATTAAGTGTGTACTTAACTGGGGTACCAGTTCACAAGTGTGACACAGAAAGGCCAAGAAAGCTGAGAAGCCAAGAATGTAAGGAATATTACTAGGTATAAAAAGAAATTTCAAAATGATAACATTGAGTTGATCATTAATATGAAAATCATGTATATATGCATATATGCATGTAATAATATCTTCAAAATGTATCATCCAAAATTAATGGATTTAAGTGAAGTGGAAAACATAATCATAAGGGATTTGAACACTCAGAAATTATGGGTATAAAGAAAAATAGAAAGTAGAGTTTTTGTTTGTTTAAAGATTTATTTATTTATTCATATGGAACTGGGGTACAGGCAAGAGATGTGGAGGGTGAGAGGATTCACCAGAGACAGAGGCGGGAGCAGAACAGGCAGACTGGCGAAGTACACTGCTGAGGGGAGCA